TAATCTTCGTCAGATCTCCGGTATTGGATTACAAATGTTTATTTGCTTCCTTTTGGCTCCATTAGTTGGATTTGGGGTTCCATTCAGGGGAAACCTTTGGAGTTTAGTATCTTACTTGCTTTCAATTTTGGTATTATCTAGTTCATCTTTTCATCTCTGTGCATATATTATGATTTTTCCGATAGACAAGAGTGGGTTGCTCTAGTGGTGAGCACCCTCCACTTCCAACCAAGAGGTTGTGAGTTCAAGTCACCCCAAGAGCAAGGTGGGGAGTTCTTGGAGGGAGGGATGCCGATGGTCTATCGGAAACAACCTCTCTACCCTAGGGTAGAGGTAAGGTCTGCGTACACACTACCCTCCCCAACCCCCACTTGTGGGATTATACTGAGTTGTTGTTGTTGTTGTTGCATATATTATGATTTTGTTCGGTAACACTTCTGCATATTATGCTTTTTGTTCTTATTCTGCAGTATAATGCCTTAATTCGTAGTCAACAACATCGAGCTACTTTGATAGATCTTATCAATCAAAAGGAGGTTCTAGGTGATCTCTTTAACCAACTTCGGCTTGCTCTTCAGAGGAGAACAAAGGGACGTCCTGCACAGGTAAGTTTCCTGTATCTACCATATACATATTCTTGTTTTTTAGTAGATTAACCTTAAATATTCTGCATCCTGTTTCATGGTTGCAAGTAGCATCTTCAATCTGATATTCACCGAGTACCCTAATAAGTAGTTATTGACATGTTGCTTGAAATTATGCAAATCAAATACAAAGTATCACCTTTAACTCTTGATATTGTCTAACATATCTCATTGAAGGTGCAATTGGCAAGATAAACCTACAGGATCACTAGTCTATAGGAAGAGCTAATCTTTTTTTTTTTCTTTTTCTGGAAATCATCGAAAGGAAAAATGGATGTCTGCAAATTTGATTACAATGTTGCTTTGAAACTGAGTACAACAGTCTGTCAGATCACAAGCAGTTTGTTTAAGAATTTCCCTTTGATGGGTCTTTCTCATCTTCCTGGTGGATTCTCCGTGTGTGTGTGGTGGGGGGTGG